CTAAAGTTTGTAGACCGCCCGTCTAAGTACTACCTTGTCAAAGTTGTCAAGGGTGGTCCCTGTATTGTCTGATTTGTTTACAATATTGTAAACTTCTTGGTAAGACATACCAACAGCTCTACAAGTTCTGTATTAAACCATTTCTAGACTAGCACAAAAAAACTTATAAACCTTTGCAACAATCGTCTGCACTTAGTTGGGCATAGTAGACGCTGTGATAAAGATGTGCATGCATGACGGGAAACTTTTTTATCGAGACTTAACATTTATATTAATATTTCTTCAATAAAAAAACGATAATTAAGTAAAGTAAGACAAACATTCAACATTTATTTGTTCAAGAAAAACGTTAATTTATATTTTTACACCACCTGTATTATTAGCATAAATGTAAAGACTATTTCAGATTTCTGTTGTTGAACTCTGAAAAAATCTCAAGTTGTTGTTTTGGTACCCAATTCTCTCCTATAAACTGCCCTTTAAATGCATGGGAATGTTAAATCAATTGAAATAAAAATTAGGTACACTATAGGTGAGTTTATATATTGACAACATAATACATTTATCACCTTTCTAAAGATATTAAGGATAAACAGCATTTTTCTAGCATTACCGACAGTACTTTAGTCCTGACTAATGTTGGTTTTACAGTGCTGGCACTCTGAGATACCACGCCACAGTTAAACATGCATAACCCACTCAGACACAGTACACTGACTCCAAGCTGAATGGTCTTTGTTTCATTGTTTTTATTCCAAGGACTACGCACAGAAACAATTAATACCAGCTCTTTACAGGAGTGAGTGAGTCTAGTTTTACACACTTTAACCAATATTCCACCATTATCAAGTTGGAGGGACACCAGAAATGGGCTTAACAGATTTGGGAAATCAAACCTGGGTCTTCTGTGTGGCAAACGTTTAAACCAATGGGCTACCCCCCTCGCCTCAACAGGAACCAGTCAGAAACCACATCTTGGAAAACGCTTCAGTCTCAGTATCAGAGTGCATTGTAGAAAACAACCTTGGTGACTTAGTTCAACCTAAGTACAGGTTGTTTTGTACAAGGGCAGGCTGGGGTCAAGTCAGAGGGTCTCAATTTGCACTGTGCTATCCTGTGGGGTCTCCGTCTGTATTTGCGATATGAATCCGTGGTCACATCTAATGTGAGTTCTTAAATAATTTTCAACTTGTTTATAATATTTTGCATTTAAAAGTGGGGAAAGAGTATGTTTTACAGAATCCGATTGTCAATATCAATCAACACAAACTAAATTAACACACAATCAATCACTTTAGTTTTATAATGCTCAGGGGAGAGTAACTCAGGTCGACTATTAGGCATAGCACTAGGAATAGCTATGACGAAATGTTTAACATTTAATTTTCTGTTCTGTATGTATCTGTGGAACCACAGGTGAGGTGAGGTGAAATTGGGTTTAACGTGGTGCTTGAGAATATTTCGCTCATATGACGACGTGCATGTGTATGTGTATGTGCGGCTGCTTGTACTAGCCCAGACTTAAGCTGGTTTTATAGTGCTAGCCCACTGAGGTACCATGCCGCAGTGAAGCATGAATACCCCACTCAGACACATTATACTGACTCCGGGCCGACCAGTCCTTGTTGTACTAATTAATGCCGAACGCCAGGCAGGGACCAACAAGTACCTTTTTTTTTTTTACGTCTTTTGGTATGACGCGGTCGGGGATCGAAACCGCGACCTTCCGCTCTCCGGGCGGTTGCTCTAACCACTACACCACGGAGGCGGTCTTCTGGAACCACAGGAATAAAGACTAACACAATTTAGAGGGAATTTTTACGTTATAATTTGAATATTTCACATGAAAGCTTAGTCTTTTATAGGACAGTCTGACTTAATTACCACTTGATAACCATGACACTAAATCACAATGGTAGCACCACCAAAAAACAAAACACCATGATTTGATGTGAAGAATTGTTTTATTTATTTGAAAATCTTAAAAAGGAATTTCTTTGGAAAATTCATACAAATAACAAAATACATGCAAAAGCCCCGTCCATAACAAATACTGTCAACAAAGCAAGTACATTATATTAAACAAAAATCCAATATATCTATCCACAAAACTGTAAACAGCAAAACTGGACGGAAATTACAAAAATTAAAAACATGGTCCCAGTGCCAAACAATACATCTATGGAACAAAACAACATTACGGATAGGTCACATTTCTCCTTCACCATCTTAAGAAGTACTGATGATTATGAAACAGATTACTGACATAATGTTGTGGAACCTGTTCAGAAAAGTTGCAAGTTGAAAGCAGGTCAGCAGGTCACAGTAAATACTATACTGATGAAACATATTGAAACATTTCATAAATAATCAAAACACAAAATATCCATTTCATCAAGTTTGACACACAAAAATGATTAAATATCAATCAGTATATACCAAAATTTAGATAATGACAACAAAAACAATCACCATGGCAACCCTTTCCTATTTTACAATTCTTAGATAAATATCTGGTCAAAAAAGGGGACTATATTTTTGATGTATATGTACATAATTTTGTTTTAATTTATAATGAAAATGTTTTGTGAGAAATACTGAAAATAAGTAATTCAGTTAAATCAAATAACCTCACAAGAAACGTTAACCCTTTCCTTTGCAATTTCCGGTCATTATCTGAGTGAGTGAGTCTAGTTTTACGCTGCACTCAGCAATATTCCAGCTATATGGCGGCAGTCTGTAAATAATCGAGTCTGGACCAGACAATCCAGTGATCAACAGCATGAGCATCGATCTGCGCAACTGACATGTGTCAATCAAGCCAGCGACCCGATCCGAATTAATGTCTGAAACATACAACACTTGTTGTTTTGAATGTGTCTAATTATTTTGAATTCTTTAAGAAAATGGAAAAGTAATCAAACGAGACAATATATATCCCCTACTGATGGACCAGTAACATAAAGTTAATGAATGTTAATCTGGAAATAGTAAAATGCAGTAAAGTGTTGCTGGAATATCACTGCTCGAATACAAGAGCTGTCTCGCCATTAAATGCATCAATGTGATTAGAACAAATACTGATTGTCTGAAAAGGAATATAAAAATACAATAACAGCGCATATATAACAAGCTCTAAATATACAGAACATGAAGAAATGATAAAAACAAATATGATTAGCAATAATGAGGTCAGAAAATAAATATTGCATTAATTGGTGAGCAAGATTACCTGAAATATAATGAGTGTTACTTCACATTTTTGGTCCAGTCAACCTTTTTATTGTAATCATAGACAAACAAATGCATGTTTTTGAAGAACAAGTTCAAAGTAATGTTCCTCCTCGACAGGCCGATTTACTTGCAAAATGGAAACTTGTCAGGCAAGGCAAGGGAAAAATATTTAATTTAATAAATCAACAAGTCAAAAATGGAATTACCACTCAAACGAATAAATTACAAAATTATTTAATATTTCTAAAAACGCTACAAATTCATATGCACACTACATAAACGTGTTCATACATGGTTTGCCCGCTGTTGAACTGCAATCATGCAGCTACTTTATGACAGAACGAACAAATTCAAGTTTGCACAAAACAATCCAACGATCATAGGGAACAATTACATGTAACCACAGCAACCACGACACCACAACCATTTGGTAGCATGCTTTTTCTGCAAAATGTTGAAAAAGTAACAAAATCAAATTGACAAATACTAAAACTGGATTTTGTGAAAAGTATTCAAACACAATCAAATGACAAACAATTTACATGATGCAAACCCATTCAACAATGCTTTTTAACCAAAAGGATAACAGTAGACACTCATTACAATATGTATTCGACAGAGAGGTGTACACAGTATAACCTAGTAAGGTGCTGAAATATAACCTGAACAGTTCATAAACATTGAAACACGTGGTATAGTGGAGTGGAATAGACCAGGTTGGTGACACGTAGATGCATTAACTACTGAGCCACCTCACACTCTTTATATGATTGGGCCCAGGTGAAAAAACACCAAATGCAAACTGGTTGATAAGAAGCACATTTATCTCAGTGATATTGAATCCTTGGACGAATATTTTCAACAGTTTTGCACACAGAATCATCAGAAAATGTATGCCTTGGACAGTCGAACAACAGATTGATGAGAGACACAACCAACCCAATACACCACTTCATTCAATGTAGTCGGAAAGACCAGAGGCTTCTTTCACAAATGGAGACATCAGCCTCTTCGTCAACTACTGAGTTATGCAGTGTGTGAAAAAGTCTCAAACTATTGCTGCCCAGGCCCATTTACTTAAACATTAGTGAGTGAGTGAGTGAGTTGGGTTGGGTTGGGAAATATTCCAGCAATATCACGGCAGGGGACACCATACTTAAACATTACAGGTCAGATTCGGATTTCATAAGGTCAAAGAAGTGAAGGTTGATTTTTCCGGAAACTTGATTGTTAACAGATACAATAAAAAACCCAAATTGCATTATGAAAGAAAACTCTATTCATTCAATGTCACCTTGATTGGTTATGGAAATTGACATTCTGTTTGGTTCTTGATGAATGTACTAATTTGTAGAAACTTTTTTAAATTGTAATTTTAATCAGGGAAGAGACAGGGCTCCAGATAATTGTTCAACATCAGGAGTACATACTTCTTATATTTTCAATATACATGTAGTAGAACTGGAAAACCTTAAAGAGTACACTTAGAGTACTGGGCCTCCTTTCACAAAGCACTTGGGTGACCGTAAGTCACTAAGGTAACCTTAGTGCAATGTTAAAGAATGGGAGTAAAGGTTAACCTTAGTAAAGGTTGCTTCGTGAAAGGAGTCCCTGAATGGTATTTAATGGCGTGTGAGTGATCTTGTGTTTTGTTTCATATATGCACCACAAAATTGTTACTCTTGTGTAATATACAATAAAACAATACTTTTTCAGATAAATACATCTGTAAATGATTCTAATACAGTACACCATTGCTGTGGTGTGTATCTGCCACGTTTTCTAAATTATTTCCTATCATATCGTGCATATTTTTTATCCTTATATACACCGATATGGCCCTTATCTGGAGCCCTGAACATTATCATTTCACAGGGACCTGGGACATTTCAGATGGAGTCAGACAATAACTTTCTGATCATGAATAAGTGAGTATGTGGCTCTTTCGCACAGATTATTGCACAAATATGATATACCGCAGCTGTCTAACAATGAATCACTCTTTGTTTCACATCATCAATGAGGAATTGAAAGATAAGGTGAGTAAGTGAGTTTAGTTTTATGCCACTTTTAGCAAAATTCCAGCAATATCACGGCAGGGGGACACCAGAAATGGGCTTCACACATTGTGCCCATGTGGGGAATCGAACCTGGATCTTCGGGGCGAAAGATAAGGATGATCATACTTCCATATGCCTTTTAGAATAGTTGGTTTGTCTGTAAATGTGTTGTCACAGTTTCTTTGCTTGGAACAAAATGCTGATACAGCACATTCCCCAGATTATATCCTGAAGACAATACAAGGTCAAGGTTGTACAATTAATGCAGTGCAACAGCAAAGCTCATCCAAAATGATTTCTGTTACCTCCCTCTCTTCACTTATTGTTTATCACAGTGTTTGATAACATCACAGTCTTGCCACATAATCAAGACAACATAAACAAACATGGAGCAGAGGCCATCAAGGCTTGTGCAAACAGCAGACATTGAGTAACAATAAATATATCACAATCAGAACAGGCCATGGGTAAAGTGCAGAACTTCTCAGCAACTTCACACTACAGCCAAGCATGCTAGAAGACCAGTCATTATCATCCCCATCGACAGGCCATGGGTAAAGTGAAGAACTCCTCAGCGACTTCACAGCACAGCCAAGCATGCTAGAAGACCAATCATCATCCCAAACAGACAGGCCATGGGTGAAGTGCAAAACTTCACAGCGACTTCACTGCCAAGCATGCTAGAAGACCAGTCAATATCATCCCCATCGACAGGCCATGGGTAAAGTGAAGAACTTCTCAACGACTTCACAGCACAGCCAAGCATGATAGAAGACCAATCATCATCCCAAACAGACAGGCCATGGGTGAAGTGCAAAACTTCACAGCGACTTCACTGCCAAGCATGCTAGAAGACCAGTCAATATCATCCCCATCGACAGGCATTGGGTAAAGTGCAAAACTTCACAGCAACTTCACTGCCAAGTGGAGTTTTCTCAAAGACCAGACAATTCTATCCCACCAACAGATCAATGACATAGATTTGCATTAACTGCATGTGAGCAATAATATTTTGAACATATACTACTCAAAGAAGTCAAGGATCACATAATTTTCTCACAATAATGGGATTAATCTGTCAAGCCCGGACAGACTGACTGCAGTAACATGAAAAAAGTATCATTATTACATTTTAAACCTGTTTCCATTTTTTTTTTGGGGGGGGGATGATTTTTTTAGTCCAATTGATTTGAATTCATTACAGCAATTCCATCCTGCTGCTTTTTAAGAAATTATATGTAACAAAATTTTAAAGAACCTCAAATATTAAATTTAAACACATTAAAATATGTACCACATGACAGCTCCCTGTACCATCATATATGTACAAGTCACCATCAACTCAAGTCTAAATGCCCCTAAACACATCTGTCATCAAATCTCCCTTCCCCTACCACCCAACGAAAGTCACTACACCTGATTTGTTCTGATAATATTTTCCCTGTCACGCATAACCCAAAGGAACTACAACCCAAACCCCAACAACAATTAATCAGAGCAGAGCAGCTGTAATGTAAAATCCCCTAAGAATGTCAGTCAAGACCAATCCCATATCATAACGCCCATGGGCAGCATTAAACTCAGTTCAACAACAAATGTTCGTGCTCAGCCCTCAAGACTACTAACTAAGCAATTAATCTTAAATTAAAAAAAAGTAGCCCTTAAAACAACTTCCCCATATGTCCATTACCAATGCCATTATCATGAGCGTAACCCCATCCAACAATACTACACCCTCCCCACACATTCCTGTAAATCCCTCAAGTCAGCCACCCCTAACATCCCAAGTCTCTCTCAGTGTACACCAACACTCTCATATCCACGCTCAGACACTCCGCAATCCAACAATATGCTGCTCTGCACGCAACACCCTGTCTACGACACTACACAGGTTCGAGGGCTCTCCTTCTCCTCCTCTGGCTCGGAGTCGTCGTCGGACTTGAGGCGGGGAATACCGTCAAGGACCCGCAATCGGGGCAGGATCTTAAACACTCTGTAAGAACAGGATCACCATCATCATCATGATATCATATTGATAGTCAAACTAAATAAAGGTCATAGAGAGTTCAAATACTTATGGGCAACAAAATTAATACAAAATATGATCTTTTTGTTATAACATTCTGAAGGTGGGATCATCAGCTGTTAAAGGGAAAATAAAAGTGAAATATCCCAAGATTTATGGGATTAACAGACTAGAAATTCGCATGAGAGACTATAATATACAACATATCAGGGTTTTATGTGACACGCAAATGTGCGTCCCGTACACACAAATGTAGAGAATGGACGCAGAAAAAAATTCTCTGCGTCCAGATGGACACACAATATTGTTAACTGTACCCACAACACATCTATGACTTTGCTAAGTGTTTGGTTGTTTCTTTCAGTACTGTTACGTGCATCATTTCACACATCAGTTCACATGATCAATGATTCATTCCAGGCTCTAAAGAAATTATCAAAACATAGAGTTCTCTACACCATTTCTTCACACGACCCTCGTACTGCAACCTAGGACTTTAAATTAATAATTAGTTGTCCCCAGGACCCCCCTATTTGTTAGTCAAGGTAAAACCCTGAACACATGTGCACAGACTGCTGAAAGACATTAAACGAGCAATTTCAAAAATCTTCCATAGTAGGAATGGAAGGGTAACAGTTTCTAACACCATTATCAAGCATGGGATTCCTTGCTGCTTGAACATCTAAAATCCCCCCCAAATAAGTCTTAAATCGCAGCTATGTCCGAAGTTTTTGTGGAACTTTATGACAACAGTTTAGACACAATTTCTGAGATCATATACTTCAATTTGTAACTTCCTAAAAGATGTTGAAAATGTAAGTAATTACAATAGACTGATGGACAAAAGTGGAAAACGTATCATGCAAAAGTATACAAACGTTCATAAACCTGTGATAAACTATGCAGTGTCGTAACGTTACGAACGCTTTGTGGATCAGGTCCCACCCAGATCCTTAAGAATCATCAGTATCTTCCCACCAAAGGTAAACCTACCTATGTCGGTACCCGGTAGCCGGATATAAAGGTCACTGGGTTGCCTGAGAGGTAGAGCTCCTCCAGGTTGGTGGAGCGGAGTTTCTTCAGTCCTTCCAAGTCCTCAATGTTGTTGTCTACAGCCAACAGGTGCTTGATCCGTGGTATGGACGGCAGATTCTGCAACACAAGTCAACTTTATGGTCCTACTGAATACCAGTATCGACTTGTCATCATATGATGCAGGATCTTCAACATATTTTGATCTTATTCATTTGATGGACCACATGTTTTATAATAGTTGCTCCATTTTTATTTTTCTACTGATGAAGAGCAGGTTCCATAATACTTCTCTGATATTTTGTTCTTTTGATGGGACCACAGGTTCTATGATATTTTTCCAATTTATTTAAATGTAAACATCCCTTTATTGTTCTTTTGATGGACTGCTCCAACACTCTCTTACTTATCGATAAATCCCTGATGCTGACATCATGTGATTTTGAAAAACTGTGTTCTCTTTAAAAGTCTTTAGTGAGTGAGCGAGTGAGTAAGGTACTATGCAATATTCCAGCAATATCACAATATCATGTGCTGTCAGATTGGTTGTTCTGCCAAAATATTTGACTGGAGCAGTCTGTAGTGTTTCCATCAACTTTCCTATTCTTTACAAGTTTTAAAATGACAAAAATTCAAATATCTGCTTTACCTTTGTAATTCAGTATGACCTAGAACCTGGGATCAGCCATGTCAAAATGTTCAATTATTTCAACCTTCCTGAATGCCACATGCAGTTGTCATGCAACTGACCAGACAATATCCTGAAAACAGGTTCATGGTGATCTTATCACAATACATATACAGGAACAGGACTGACTGACTGAGTTTGGTTTTACGCCGCTTTTAGCAATATTCCAGCAACATCACGGCGGGGGACACCAGAAATGGGCTTCACACATTGTACCCATGTGGGGACTTGAACCCGGGTCTTCGGCGTGACGAGCCAATGACAGGAACAGGAACCTTTTGTATCAATTTATCGGCAAACTGACAATAACACACACGAACGCACGCATGCACGCACGTGTTAGCCCTTTAGAATTATAATATATATTTTTGGTAATTTTAGCTAAAATTATGTTGAATTAGGTACCCCCCATTGGTCGAACCAACAGACGTTTGTTCAGAATACATAACTGGTTGTGAGGTAATGCGTAGATGTGACATCACCAGCAGATGTGACGTCACCAGCGTGGCACATTGACGCCATCTTATTGGGGTGAAGAATAAATTGACGCTGGAACTAAATCACGCTGTTGTCTGTTTTCAGGTATGTATTCAAACTCAACATCAGGCACATTCCCTCGTAAGCCCCTGTAGGTCATGTTTACACTTGTGTTTGGATGTAAACACACTAGGAACTGTGCATTTGTTTAGTTCTTTGAGTCTGTCGTTCGACAAAACTTTGTGACCTATTTGTAGTGCAAGTCGATTGCTATTTTGCTTGATGCTGTACATATGTCAGTTACAACCATTCGCTTTTGCATTCTGTGACCTAGAAGCTCATTAAATGGATTAAACCTTGTGGGCAGACCAAAATATTATTATTGCTAGAGTAAATTGTAATTGCTGCGAACCGGAAGTAGCATGGTCAGTGTCGTCAGGGTTATGCGCATACTGTTTGGGACAGATCGGAAGTAAGGTCAAGGGCACTTTATTCCGGTAAGAAGGATAGAACATTACGAAAGTATTTTAAATTACTTGAAACTGATGTTTAGATATTAAATGGTTAGATCATAATTTAGTCCGTAACAAATATGTTGAAACAGGGAAATATATTTGTTGAATGCAAGTATTGGTAAATATTTATTGAGATTGTACTGTAAATATTGTGTATTCAACTGAAGATAACTGTTGAGTTATGATAATTCAAGTTACAGTATTACTCCATTTAGAATATATAGTTTCATGCAGATTATATGTACATGTTGAAGTACCTGTGTAGCATATATATTCATCCAATATGAGTTATTGTTACTCAGTAATTATGGAGTAAGAACAGAATTATACTTAACCATCCATGCAAAGGTTAATGCTGAGTTGTATGGTATGTGTAAATGATTTGCTACTAGGTAAGTGAGATAACTTGTGTGGGTTGTATACCTGTAGTTAATCTGTGGAATGCCAGATCATTGAACTAAGGGAGATAACCTGGTATGGTGTAATCAGTGAGCGTCGTGTTATTGAACTAAGGGAGACAATCCATCTATTTCTGTTGTACTGTAAACTTGCTGTAATCAGCGTCGCACATTGACGCCATCTTATTTGGGTGAAGAATAAATTGACAGTAGAACTAAATCACCCTGCTGTCTGTTTTCAGCCATTTTGATGGCAACGACCAACACCTCTTCCAGGGTGCAACCCAGAGAGAGAGAGAGAGAGAGAGAGAGAGAGAAGAGAGAGAGAGACACACACACACAGTGAACAGTGGTGATAACATACAGCAAAGCCACCCCAAATGGCAGAAATTCTGCTTGCCCTTATAACATAACATTAACATAACTGGTCCAGGCTTGTAGTTTAGTGATAACCGCCATCCCTGCTGAGCATGCCCTAGGATGATAGCGAGTGAACTAGTTGAGTTCTACTCACTTTTAACAATATTCCAGCAATATCACAGTGGGGGACACCAGAAATAGGCTTCACACATTGTACCCCTGTGGGGAATCAAACAAAGGCCTTGGCGTGACGAGCGAATGCTTTAACCATTAGGAGCGAATGCCTACCCCACCACCCCAAGAATGATATAGATGATATAATACACCCTACTTACACTTTGTGCAGGGGAGACATAAATGATCAAGAAAATCCTAACCCAAGGCTTACTCTCCTTCCAATCATAACCTAAATAAGCAATAGACACACTCTTGGTGTAACACACGATATCTACCAGTAAGGTGAGGTGAGGTGAGGTGAAATTGGATTTATCGTCGTGCTTGAGAATATTTCGCTCATATGACGACGTGCATACGTGTGTGTGTGTATGTGCGGCTGCTTGTACTAGCCCAGACTTAAGCTGGTTTTATAGTGCTAGCCCACTGAGATACCATGCCGCAGTGAAGCATGAATACCCCACTCAGACACAGTATACTGACTCCGTGCCGACCAGTCCTTGTTGTACCCATTAATGCCGAGCGCCAGGCAGGGACCAACAAGTACCATATTTTAACGTCTTTTGGTATGACGCGGTCGGGTATCGAACCCGCGACCTTCCGCTCTCTGGGCGTCTACCAGTAAGAGTATCACCTGATCATAACCTTAATAACTGCTAAACAGAAAGACATTAATATCTGTACTAAGCTGTGTGCATATTCTATAGAGATGAAACAAAGCTATTAACTTTTCATTTGTGTTTTGCTTCCATGTTGCTTAATGCTCCAAGTAGCAATATTCCAGCAATCATGGTGGCCTGTGAAGGGGTGGACAAATTTTAATAAATGCAACGAATAATTCACAATTTTTAGGCTAAATTATTTCACCAAAGTCACTGTTTAGTGCAATCCAGCTTTCCCAAATACCTGTATCTACGCTTGCTGCTTACCTTCAAGGAATATATGTAGTTGTTGTTGACGTTCAAGTATTCGCACCTGAAACAGATAACATTTAGACATTTATGAATGCTTTATTCCACCAGACAGCAATATTAGTGCTACATTACATTGTGGCAGAATGCAAAATACAACTTTACATCCCCGGCATTATGTCATGCTGAGGTAAAGTGAAACAGGTTTGTAAGACCAGGCCCTGATTTCTCGAAACAAACTTAACTTTTTACTCAAAATTCAAACTGAGTTTGACAATTTGAAAGAGCTGAATGTTTAACTCCGCTGCATTTTGAAAATATAAAAGCCAAAAAAACTTAAGTATTCTATTCACCAAACTCAAATTGTCTACTATGCTTAAGTTTAATATCGATTTCAGTTCATTCTGGGAAATGAGGTTTCTCAAATTTGAGTCAAAACTCTGACTTAAGTCAAAACTCAGACTTAAGTTTGTTTCGAGAAATGGGGGCCTGGATGATACCTCAAGTTGCCCATGAACTTACTCCATCTCAGAAAGGATAAGAATTTCATGGCACCATTAGAGGCAACAGACCAGTATCGGCCTCAGTACTACAACATGACTGGACCACTACAGGTATTATGGTATCAGTCATGTTAATGGTACCACTATCCAAACCTATGTCAAATGTTACTCGACTAATAGCTTTGTAAAAAACTGGGTGTCATCAATATTTCCAATAGGAGTACTATCTTAAATATTCCATTACAGTATACTTCCAATTTTTATCCAAGTCTGTTTGTGGTTCTCATGTATTTGTAAGAACACTTTTTTACATTTAATGACCAAAATGATCATTTGATGGATATTATTATAAGTCCTGACAGCAGTTTATAAACTATGTGTTGTCTCGATTCTTATTTTATTTTTAAACACTGAACTATGTCTTATCTGTGTGCCTGAACTAAGAAGTGAACAGTCTTTAGTATACAGCCGGGAGAATTTGGATTTTATAGATTTAATCAAATATAAATTTGAAGTATAAAACAAGTGTTTGCCACTGATATGGAAATGTCCCCCGCCACTAAAGAAAGGAATATTTATAACACATTTACTACTTTTTATTTTTGGTCACATACAAGATGCCTGAAATGGCTGGTATCTGCATAATCACCCAATATAGGCTGTCGACATAATTGAAGACATTGGGTGCAATGTTTTATGAGATATCGCGTTAACAAGAATTTGAAAAGTGGTCAAAGTATCGTGGTGACCTTGAAAATAAGGTCAAGGATACCAAAATCAACTGGTGTCTGTGTAATCCCCCAATGTAGGCTGTCACAAGACTTAAAGACATTGGGTACAACAGTTCATGAGATATCAGGTTAACAAGAATCGGGACAAACGGACGGACGCCGCTGAATACATACTCCCCCGTTCCACGATGTGGCACGGGACAATAATAGAATATTTCATTTTTCTAGTGAAATATGATGTATCTGTCAAATACACCACTGATAAAAATATCACTTTTTCACGTCACGTGATTACAGATACATCATATTTCATTAGCCAAATTAAATATTCTATTACTATACTATATAATATTATTATGAAATGATATCCTTTATCCCTTCCAGGTACCTGAGAGAATTTTTTGTCCAAAAATCCATGGGAGAGGAGTGAGTGAGTTTGGTTTAACAATACTGACTGACTGACTGAGTTTAGTTTTACGCCGCTTTTAGCAATATTCCAGCAATATCACGGTGGGGGAGACTAGAAATGGGCTTCACAAATTGTGCCCATGTGCATGTAGGGAATAGAACCCGGCGTGACAAGCGTACACTTTAACCACTAGACTACCCTACTGCCTCCTACGGAAGAGGACATTGCCTGTATACTCACAGTGGGAAGGAGTGGTGACTGAGATTGGTGATGGCGTTATGCATCAGGTTGAGGTGTACGACCTGCTTCAATCTTCCCAGAATGCGCTCCATGTTCTTCTTCTGGTATTTGTCCTGCAACTCCTGGTAGGTGATGCTGGCAAACTGGAACCGGGCAACCAAATTAATTATTTTTTGATAAATTCTTATAAGCTCCCTTGGTATACATAAGCAAAAGTATCTTATGGTGCTAAGATCAAACAACCTGAACAAAGTAGATCTTGTTGTTCATATACTACATTCAAAGTGAGTGAGTGAGTAGAGTTTTATGCCGCTTTTAGCAATATTGAATTGAACCCGGGTCTTCAGTGTGACGAAAGAACGCTTTAACCACTGGGCTACCCCACCGCCCTTGGTTCAAAGTGAGCTGAGCATTATGTATGGTGTATGGCATGTCTGGCATGGTGTGTGTACATGCTTGCGTCAGTTTGTGAGTGATTGAGCTTTCTTCCATTCTTAGCAGTATTCCATGATCTTGTTTTTGAATCATTTTGTTGCTTCTTGGACCAGTAATAAAGTGAGTGAGTATGGTTTTATGCTGCTTTTAGTATTATTTCACCAATATAACAGCAGGAGACACCATAAATGGGCTTGACACAATGTACCAACGTGGGGAATAAAACCCGGGGCTTTGGCCTGAAGAACAAACACTTTAGTTTAACCACTAGGCTACACGACCAACCCCTGAGGTGAAAGTAATGAGTATGGAGCTTTTTAATGTGGTCTGCTAGATACGAAACGACAGTATTATGTCATTATTTTAACTTTCATGAGCATTGTAACTCCAGAAATCATTCTTGTACAGAGTCATCACATTTGGTAAAAAAACCTTAGTGCCCTGTCTTATAAAGTACAGGTTGACACAATAAGACCGTCCCCGTCCCACGGTGCCTCACCTTAGCTGTTTCCCAGTTCTCTGCCTGGTCCCTGTATCTGGTCCTCTCTCGACCAGTGAGTGAGTGGTGGATCAAGTTGTCCTCCTCATCACGCAGCTCGTAGAATGTCCGTTCCTTCTCCTCAGGACCTGATGACATTTTGCAAGAAATACTTTCTTTCAAACACTCACATTAGTCGAACTTAACAAAGTCATAAAAAGAATACAGTTGAGAACTAAGGGGAGATAACTCATCTTCAATTTCAACTTGTAGAATGTCCGTTCCTTCTCATGTTTGTCATTTTCATTTTGGGGGTTGGCCTATACAACTGATATTTGCTGATGTATGTCACGTTTATAAACACATTAAACATTATGATGACACTCTTAATTCTTTAATTTCTGACAAACTTTTCTTTACATGTGCTATATATCATTTGAGCCTTTATTAATGACGCCTATTATACATGTTTTAAGCCAATTGCTACTTTCTTTACAACTCTGACATTAGCAGAATTCAACAGACTCACAAAAGAGCACTTGTTACCACGTAGATTTGATAAGAAAGGGAGATAATTCATCTTCAATTTCAAATAGACACTATAACATATGCTGACTACTTATGTTCAGCTGAGGACAACACAGCTGAAGAGATACCAGTAGTTACTGCTGGTAATGAAAGAATCCAGTGGTGACACAATATGAGATGATGAACACCTTTTTTGGTTCAACTTCAAGTAGTGCCAGAGCATGCTGGAATGTGTATTTGTTAACCAAGGGAGATAACTCATCTTCAATTTCATGCAGAATATATAACAGCTAGTGGTGGTCCGATTAATTGAAATAATCGAAGATTGGTCGCAAAATGATCAAGCAATCAATCATGTTTTCACATAATCGAACACAAGCAATTTTGGAACACTTGTTTGCATTAATATTTTTCACAAGGTTGGTTTTGTCTGTTACATTCATAAGCACTACAAGCTTACATGATTGAATTTATCTTAAAGACTCCAGATAATTTATGTTCCTAACATGCTGGTCATCCTTTAAAGATGTGAAATTCACAAATGCATTTTGTGCAATTTGCAAAATTCCCGAAAGAACTAGATGTTTTGTCTATTGTTTGTGCATTAACAAACATAACCAGGAAACTTTGATAAATGACGCTAACCAATCATTTTCGATGATTGATCGGTTGTTATGAACCGATCATCAATGACAATTATGGGATTTCAACAATTCCCAACACTACTCCACACCCTGGTTATGTCTAAGGTGTCCTTGTCCAAGTTGTATACAGTATGGCCTCAGATGAGATCACATCCCAGATTCCTACTCAACTCACCTTTCCTGACACGAGGAGCCTTCAGCTCATCCCCCTTGACACTGCGCTCTCGCAAGTCATGCCACACACTGTGCTTAAACCGCTGAGACGGCAACTGACAACAAGGGACATACAGTACACAGTATTGCAACGGAAATAAGCATTGGGGGAATTGCTACTAGTTATCACTATATGGGCATATAGACATTTTCATCCCTATTCTACCATCTTTCAAAGCAGATTCACTATTGTTCACAAGCACTTGTTGACATGATGGCAAAACCCTCAGTGACCTTTTTCACAATAAACTAGAAACTCACATTCACTATGCTTATATGGGGGCTTCTCAATTTGTTGCAAGGCATGGACAAACAGAGCTGCAAGTCATCAAGCAATATCAGGGGTGGAAATAACCCACTGCCCAACGTCCGATTCCAGTGTTTTTTTCTGTCGGGCAAGCAAATTATGAATCCCCTTGGCTATAGTAATGATTATCATATATTCCTGTTGTATAATTATTACAATGTGGAAACACACTTGGGAAAAAATCTGCATTTACCTCTGGAAGGGTTTTCTGCTGAGCTCTAAAGTATCCAGCTTGTTGGTTCAGTGCTACAACAGACAGCGGGACATTGGTGCCATCTGAACCCGTCTGACTTGTCTCCCCTGTGTCTTTAGATGTTTGACTGATGGAACTGTCCGTCGAGACAGATACACTGGAATGATGAGAAGATTAACCATCTAGCATGTCAAACTTTTCAAGTGAATTTTATCATGACCGTTAACAGATATGCTTTTTAATTCTTTTACTTCTCCGAGAATCACATGCACTCAGTTCAGAACATTTTTCTATGAATGGAAATACATCAAATTACTTTAAAATATTTAAACATTTAAGGAAACGACTATGCTTGAGATTTACATTTTTCCTTTGTATTATGTCATTATCCCTGTCAGTAAGATAAAAATGTCAACATGAGAAGAAAGTCCAAACTGATGCAGCATACAACAGTGCTGGTGGATGGATGGATGGATGGATAGGTATATGAGTGGATGGATGAATGATAGGATATTTATATAGCGCACATATCCATGCAACTAGTACATGCTCAAGGCGTTTGAGTCTTCCCTTAATCAACGAATGTCTTTTTTCCTGGCCTTCTTTAACCAACTCAACTCCCTGGGGAGTATTCAACTCATGCAGCCTGTTAAGCGCAGCGAGTTATCACACAGACTCATCCTCACAAGGTACCCATTTGCAGCTGGGTGAACTTGGTCACATAGTCACAGCATTTTATCCAATGATATTGCATGTTACTACACCCGCAACTAGGTGTCCGCACATGTTCCTGTCTCCACCATCTGGTCACTAGGGGTTGTGACAACACTGAAAGAGCCTACAATCCACAATCACAGGGGCTTGTAATGTGAATAACTGGCACCAGTGCAAAACTAGCACTATACCATGTATACAGTGTGAAGACACTGTCAGTGACAGAATATACTTTGATGCCATCCACAATCACGTAAAGGAATCTCCCTAAAGTGACAGGGTGGCCATGGCACCACATCAAGCAGAGTTGAGCCTTTTGTTGCATTGTCAGTTCACAGATTTATCAAAATATAAGGGACTGGTCAGCTGAGGGTCTACATGGGGGGAGTCCTAAAAATATTACATGTTTTGGGGAGGATAATGAAAAACATGTACAATGACACAGATAGAGTTATCCCAAAATATCACAAAACATTAGAATCTGGCAAATGACATCTGAAGCAACAATCCACACTATCAGGATATAATGCCATGATATCAATCAAGACATTTGATCCATGACGTCCGTCTCTTCATACCAACACAGGTTGCTGGGGATTAAGCCTAACCTGGCATAACCAGCAGTGTTTGCAATACTTTAATTTGCTAGTTGGCCAGCAGGCTTAAAAATCTACTGTCAAACCAATAAAAACAAAATAGACTACACTATTTTTCACAACAGTTTCACACAGTTTCTACAAGATCAGTTAGCAAAGCCTATGGCACAGAGAGACGTTTCTATTTGTTAAAGACTGGTGTTGACATTCCTATGTGCAAAGCGCTGAAATACCAGGAAGTGAAACTGAAAGTTATCGTAACATGATGGATCAGGGATGATTTCCAAACGTTAATAAAGAAAAAAAACAAGGGAAAGATTCCAGTTAAAAAAAAAGACAAGGGCCTGCAAATATTTTAAACTGCTGATACCAAGGGATGGCAATATACCACAACACATAAACATAGCCAATATAGAGTTCTCAGAACTCCAAATAAATAAGCTGCATTTTGTGTACACATGTGTATGAAGAAATTTGATAATGCAATAGTAAATCATTAAAGGTGAGAGTTTATGGATGTCAACTTCTTTTTCATGAGGAACACAACGTTGAAATTTCCACCTTTTAAGTGCATCACTTAGGCATATACATATCCATGTCTTTACTTGATGTTGGTTTGTTGTTTAATGCTGCACTCAAGAATATTCCAGCTATATGGTGGAGGACTGTAAACAATCTAGTCTGGACCAGACAATTCAGTGATCAACATCATGAGCATAAACCTATGCCATTGGAATACGATGACATGTGTAAACCAAGTCAGTGAGCCTGACCACCTGATCCCTTTAGTCGACAAGCATGGGTTGCTGAAGACCAATTCTAACACGGATCTTCACGTGTCCATGTCTTTACTGAAAGCAAGCATGACATGGTCGCTGCAGCTGACGTGAATAATGCACTCATGTCTCGGACTGTAGCCTTATTGTGATATGTGTCACCGTGATGAGGTCATGCGACATGTGACTCACAGGGTCATCATATGTACATATGTTAATGAGAAGTTACATGAAATATCAGTTCACATAACCATATACATTACAACCAAAGTGTAAAACCCAAAAATGAAAATTACCAAAACCCATTGTGAATCAGTACATGAGTGAAATACTGGGGATGGGATAGGTAACTTGGGAACCAGCGGTAGGTCTCAAGAATGTTGGATTAGGAATTGTTTTACTGAAAACTACTGCTGAAAACTACTGAGATACACATATAAAATGGTCTGCTCATTCACACACTGATTATTGACTGAAGCCTTTTTTAAACTGAAAAGGAATGCATGCCCCATCCTGCAAACATAAGTAACTTATTGCGTGAACTTTGTTTTGTCATAAAAAATAAAACCACATGAGTAACCATTGGTCAAATGTTGTCTTGTGGGTATACAGGTCCTCCTCAGTTCCCTCACAACCTGACTCAACCTATAGTCTCATCACAGTTGGACTCATCAATTAAAGTTCTGGTATATACTCAAGGGCTTAATAAATAATCAAGAGCTCAGGATCAACATATCCCAGATGTCACCCTATCTCAGTATACTGTAAAATCAGTGGAATGTTTGCATCCAAATCAAGTCTTTTTGTGCATATGCATGCGCCTTTTCATGTGTTGACATCATCATCATTCTGACATCAGGATTGTATATGGGCCGACTCGTGAGGTTTGTTTCGCTCATTTAAATTACGTCGTGAAGCCAAAATCCATACCAGAATTTGTACGATATTTTCAGACTTATCCAATCACTGACTTCAATCAATTCAGTATTGGGCTCAACTTTCCGACAAAGTAAAAACAACCATACTAAATCAAGATCTATTGATTAAATATTCAGATTTTAATCCAAACACAGACGAAATTACCTTTCAGGGTCAGCCATCACCAACAAGTTATCTTATTGATTTGATTCAGTCATGCACACGTAACAGGAACTATTTGGCCAAGCATAACTTCTGCGTATAATGTCAGTTTCAGCAAACTCGCATGTTCGCAAGTTTCGAGAGCACTTGTCAGTGCGCCGCCATATTGTAAACAAGCACCTGTCTTCCGGTGACGTCATCGTCCATTTGCCTTAGCAACATGTAGACTTGCTTTGGCCGTAAACATAGTTACACAGTTGGCTGTCAGTGAGTCAACGTCAGGTCCGATCTTGTTACTTCTCGGAATATTTAAAGTGTGGCTCCTTGAAAATAATGCCCTGAAGTAGACTATAAAATACCTGTCACGTTTTTAACGCTTTTGACTGGCAAATGTCTCACTTTTCTTACTTATTCAGACATCTGACGACTAATCATAAACAAGAAAACGGAAAAAAGAATTCCAACTCGCGAAAACGGTTTGTTCAAATAAAGTCCAAACGACCCAGATGTTTTCTCTCTTTTCACCTTGAATGATAATATCAATTAATTAATTTGTTGATTATTAATATAATTGAATATCTCTCGCGTAACAATGACCTTTCAAGCTCAGTTTTGTATATTTCGTGAGGGGTTCTGTTTGTTGTTATTTGTTTTTGTATGCTGGTTTGTTGTTTCGTGGGGATTTTTGTGTGCATTTTTGTACACGAAGGCATATGAATTGTACATGCTTTTCTACAATAATACACTTTCACCGATTTAAAATGTCTAAATTTCTAAATACCTCTGAGTACTTATTTTCAGCTGGTTATTGTAAGGGTATCTTCGAATTCTCCGTAGCCACGAGATTTTTTTAGTTGCGTGTTCTCCTATAGCTAAGATACATTGCGTTCACTGACATGTCAGTGAACGCTATGTATCTTAGCTAGTTCTCCTACAGCCCCGTGAACGACATAAGAAAGTATAACAATTATAAGGATTGGCTGTGTTTTGTTTTCGGTTCATTGTGGTGTGACTGGAAAATCCGATGCGCAAAGTGCATGAATCCGTGTTATGCAAAGTCTATGAATTCAATGAACCGTAAAAATAGTCAATCCTCATAAATATATTTCCCGACGAAAACATATATATCTGTATCAGTTTAATCAAAAACAGGAAATTAGTAAATGTTTAAAAGACATTGTGCCTTAAGGAAGAGCATTTTCATGGATGTCAACTTCTTTATTATGAGGAACACAACGTTTCGGAGTATATCCTTAATCCTTCATCAGGTGAAGGAGTAAGGATATTCACCTGATTAAAGAGCAAGGATACACTCCGAAAAGTTGTGTTCCTCATAATAAATAATTTGACATCCATAAACATTCTCTTCCTTATGTGCATCACATCTTTAAATGCCATTCAAAGACATTGTGCTGTCCTGCTCCTGGTGTGATGTGTCAAGTGAATGGGTTCGAATCCTGGTTTACCCCAGTTTGTTTCTTGGTTTGTCATATCCATGCCAGCGGTAGTTGTCTTGATTCCACATATTTCTATTCAGGATTTCCTTGTCACATGTACCCGTGAAGGTCCGGGTTAGAATATTGATCTTCAGTAACCCATGCTTGTCGTAAGAGGCGACTAACGGGATCGGGTGGTCAGGCTCGCTGGCTTGGTTGACACATGTCATCGGTTCCCAATTGCGCAGATCGATGTTCATGTGTTTGATCACTGGATTGTGTGGTCCAGACTCGATTATTTACAGACCGCAGCCATATAGCTGGAATATTGCTCAGTTCAGCGTAAAACTCACTCACTCACTCTTGTCACATGTACAGGAATATGATTTTAATAATTCTATAATTTGACGTTATGTTGCAATTACAACGGAGTATGACAAGCATTTTTATTGTTTTCCTATTCTTGATGTGAGAGGACACCTTTTGCACTCAGCGGGCTTCATGTATACTACCCATCAAAAGTTTAGACTCACTATATGTTATGTATATACACTAAACGCCAAAAGAAACGTTACCCCCCTTCCTTAATGACGGAGGTACCTATCTTCAACTGGCGTTGTGATGCGTGGACGTCCACTTCTTGGTCTGTCTACGGTGGCCCCAGTCTAAAGCCCTGAATAAGTCGTACAACCGTGATACGGTGGCATCCGAGGGCGTTGGCAACAGCATTGTATGTCGACCCCATCTGCACCATCCCAATGGCTCTCTCTCTCTATCTCTTCAGCTGTTAATCGTGGCATATTTGTCGTACTTGTGTATCATGCCATCTTTTCTAGGCTTTAATATTGCTGCGTTTTGGCGATTGATATTGCTGTGTGTAAACTAATATCTTCTAACATATCTTTCAAGTAATTCAGAAAGGTAGGAGGGTAACGTTTCTTTTGGCGTGTAGTGTATATGTGGTATATGAATTTCTCCACTAACTCAAGGGAACCATCTGCAAACCTTCTGCAGATGAAATGTATGAGGATCATGCATCAAATTGCTGAAAAGCATGTGCAAATATCGTGCATGTGAACAGCTGCGTATTGGTGTAAAGTTAAGAATATTCGCCAATTTTCACTGAGTTTCATCATTTATTGAACTCATGACAATCTTTTCAACCTTACGAATTTGTTTTACAATACATCAGTTCATGTGGAAACAGTATGGAATATTTTGCAAATCTAGTTTAGAACAGTTGACAGAAGTAAGTGACTAAATTAACACTAGTGAGTGTAAACATTTGATGGGTAGTATATATACTTGGTTCAGTCCCACGATATTTAGAAAAATGATAACGCAACTCACTCATGAAATTTAAGTCACTGATATGTTTCTAATGAATTTCACAGATTTCCTTACAGTTGGTTGAAAATGTAAAACTCCTGAGATAAATTGTCCACCTCAGGGTCACAGACCCCATAACGTTTTGCGATTTTGTTGCATGGAGCTTTGTATATTTGTGTGTACGTCTGATGGTGTGAAACTCGAATTTTGCCACTGTGGTTGAAAACGGCTAAACCAATGTTTCTGTAAACTAGACGTTATTCGGGAATTTCAGAACCTCAGCTCTCTGCACAAATTAATTTTTAACAAACATGTAAGGGGCGGTGGTTAAATCGTCCGCTGATTGAGCGAATGACCCAGGTTCGATTTCCAACATGGGTACACTATGTGATGCATATTTTAGGTGTCCACGGCCGTGATATTGCTGAACTATTGTTGAAACCGGCGTTAAAGAAAGTGAAAGAAGCGCCACTGAAATATACGATAAGCTCCCATTCACTGCCTCTCCAGCGATTCAAGGTTAATTCAATGCGGGTCTGTAAAACAGGAAACTGCTGCTTCAAGTGGCAAAATACTTGTTCCACGGTGTTTCTCTTTGTTTGAATACACTTATTTTGTAATTTTCGTATCTCCATTAATTCTTCTGTAAATGCATACAATAAATCTTGATATACTAACAGTATCTATATATGTTGTGTATTAGCATATCTAGAATTTTGTATATTTGTAGTTAATTTTAAATACGTGATGCGTGTTTGCATAATTCTATGAATGTAAGGCCACCAGAATGAATATTAAAAGAAGCAGCCCATAAATATACCACTGAAGAATCACGACTTGTCACAGATACCTTCTGCAAAATGAAGGTGAGTTTTTCTTGTGTGACCTCTCTCAGCATTGTTCAGCTGTTAGGGCTGGCTAAAAGCTTCAATCGGAAATATCATCCATATGAAAAATAGTGTCAATAATAGCGTTCAAAATCTTTTGTGACAGAATCAAGTTAAAGGAAGTTTTCATTTAAGTTTTAAATTATGCCAAGGATGCTTTCATGAAAGTAACCTATGCATGAACCTCTCACCAGTGGTGTGAAATATATTAAACGATTATCGATCTCTAAGATCTGTATCGATAGCCAGCCCTATCAGCCGTGTGACTGATATGTAAATCGAGTCTGGACCATACAATCCAGTGATTGACATCATGAGTACCCATCTAAATGAGCCATTTTCCTGTTTTGCCATTGGGACAGATGACAGGCATGGGTATGAAATTTCGAAAACTTGTATATGACCTGGATGATACGCATGGGTTTCTTGGATTGCTTACAGAACGCATTGCGGTGCCGGATAAGCATCAACACTAATATCGGCGCCAATCCTTCATAGCCATAGTGAGGTTGTGACTGGTTTGCAGGTAAAGTTAGCTACCAGAAGTGTCCAAGGAATATACAACATTTCAACATAACAAAATGTTTATTCGAAGTAATGCAAAATTCAATTACAAACATGGTTCACCAGCAGTTGACAAAATATGCATGTTTTATTCATGCAAGCAAAGTGGTCGTGAATAAATATGATTACAGTAACATACTACTTAGAATCCTAATATATTGTATATATTATTTTGCAAGATCAATACACACATCATTGGACTGAATCTCAAACATCAGTTTACCAAAATGATGATACACAATACACTGTTCTCAGTAAAGATGCTAATATATTTGGGTCAGTCCCATTAGAATTCTAACCCACTCGAAGTCTGACAATTGATAGTCTTGAACATTGAGTGAGTTTACTTTTGCGCCGCACTCAGCAATATTCCAGCTATATGGCAGCGATCTGTAAATAATCGAGTCTGGACCACATAATCCAGTGATCAACAGCATGAGCATCGATCTGCGCAATTGGGAATTGACAAGTGAGCCTGACCATCCGATCCCTTAGTCGCCTCTTACGGCAAGCATGGGTTACTGAAGGCACATTCTAACCCGGACCTTCAGATATTTTGTGTACCCCTCCGATAACTACTGCAATCTGTACTTTACCATATGATATACAACATGTTAAAATATTTAATGTTAAATTAGTGAATATAATTTTACACCACTTTTAGCAATATTCCAGTAATGTTAAATCAGGGAACACCAGGAATGTACTTCACTCATTTTACCCAAGTGAGATAACGACTTTACAACTGGGCTTCCCAACTCTTTGCTCACGTGAAAAGCCTCAAAATAATTTTGGTAATGCAGAAGGACATTGAAACACCACGGTTAAGCAATTACACCGCTAAGCAATTACACCGAACAAATATAAGGGTGAATATATTTTTAAGATCATTTCGGTATTGAATATTCTCAGAAAGTGCAAGCTGTCATGCATTAATTCTAGTTGGGGTTAGTTTAAGTTAGTTGGTGTTTGTAACTGCAAGTGTGGGTGCTATTCACTACTGAAATGTATCCTGTATATTCACCCTTATGTGATTCAAGTTTCATTGATGTGATTTGATAAAAAAAACCTACATGGTGTTTCGAATATCAAGGGCAGAGTCTGGAAAGCCTTATGTAGGCACTTTAATACAGTAGGAAAAAAATACTGAATATTACAGGCATGCTGGGTACACATTTGCAAACTATTACACCATCGAAGGAGAAAATGAAAATTCAATATAAAGTTTAAATACCAACAGTTTTCATTTCATTACCAAAAGAGTACATAAAAGTCATCTGGTCCATGCCAAAGATTGAAAGCTGTTGATGTCATCAGTTACAAGGTCAGCAACTTTTCAGCTACATGACAGCAGTCTGCAAGTGATAGGGACCAGACAATACAGTGATTGACATGAGCTGCAGTCAGGCAAGCCACATGCATCAACCAACACAAGTCTGTCCACTCAGTCCCGCCAGTTGCCTCTTACAAGCATGGGTTGCTGATCAATTCTAACTTGCATCTTCACGGGTCAGTTGCACATGAAACGGAAACTCATGGAAACATACTGATGCTGGAAAAAGTAAGTTGCACAAGAACATTTCTGAACAATCAATAACAATTTACAACATGAAAAAAACAGTATACATACTATGAGTTGACTTGTGCTGTATATACATTGTCTATGCAGATGGAGTTTCATTCCACATTGCTCCAATTTTAACAGCCTTAATGTGGAATATCACAATTCATGATGACATTGTTTTTGGTATGCAACATTTGGTACATTCTGTACAGTTCTCCAAGTCAAAAGCAACACAGTCCGACTTTTGACCTGTGGCTTCTGTAAACATCCAGCGAATCATCAGTGGGCCTCATCAAGTCTATCTTCTCCAGTGCAAGAAATCTTCAGAGACAATCACTGATATATCCCACAGTCCACAATATTTCAGCCACCAATGGACACGAAAATGATCTAAGATCACACAAAATATGTACCACCCAATCCTGAGTAAAGTGGATGTGTGGTAAATTAATATTTTCACTTGAATCAGCAATATTTCAGTCACCAGGCAAGAGAACATCATACATTTTAGAATGTACATGAACAATGAAGGACCAAGGATTATACTGGGAACAATTCCAGTATTGCCAGCAACAGGCCCTTAATACAAAAAGAGGTATGTATTACAGATATATTGTTAAGGGATGGAATTGTGTTGGACTCGCAGAGCAAAAAAGAAATTGCATAGAGAAATTGTTCTGGGTTTGTTATGACTGATATTAACCTTTTCCAACAGCATTTCTCAATTTAGAGCAAAGAATTGTTGTAAGAGAAAAATAGTAATTTGTAGTATACCCAAAAAATAGCCAAAGAAAATATCTGAACAAGGACATTATCTGAATTGTGTATTTGGCAACAATTGACAAAATAAGATTAAATAAATGGGCTGAAAATTTGTGAACAAGAAGCAAGTTTTAGGCCCAGATATGCAAGAACTTTTTTTCAATGCTTATGTACAAAATATACTCAAATAAAGTTAAGGACCACCCCAATATTTAAGTATTATATGGGTCATAATTTGAACTATTAAATACTTTAATATTGAAATTGGGGTGGTTAAGGGTAGATATTGTCAAAATGTGTAAAACCCTTTTTATCTCGTGTTGAAAATGCTTCAATCAGATCGATCACATAATGTACATAATATACAGTGAAATCACCGTTACAATAAGATTGCCATAATGGTGTATTTAGCAATTTTAGTTTCACTTTTTTACAAGTTGGCTGATAAAATTAATAACATGACTTTCACTATTGCTTTTGAATGGACACTGCATGATATTTATACAAAGAGATGGTCCAAAATTCATCCTCAGAAAACAGTGAAATGAATACAAACCACAACATTTAATTTGATCCTATATACAATTGTTTGATCAGCATTCTGGAAATTGAGTCAATAATGAAGCATACAAATTTGTTTTTTGCACAGAACAATGTTTCAGTGTAGATTCTTTTGAAATATCTAGGAGTGAGTGAGTTGGGTTTTACGCCGCACTCAGCAATATTCTAGCTATATGGTGGCAGTCTAAATAATCGAGTCTGGACCATACAATCCAGTTATCAACAGCATGAGCATCGATATGCTCAATTTGAATATGCTTCAGTCAGTATGATCTACTATCACATAATGTGCCTAATATACAGTACTGATATACTACTGTTGCATTAAGATTGCCAAAATGTACTGAAAAAGGTGTATTTAGCAATTTTAGTTTCACTTTTTACAAGTTGGATGATACAACATGCTAAAATGTGGTGAGTCAGCAAATGGTACCATAACATTCGTTGAATTTAATTTTAACTTTGGCGGGGAACACCAGGAATGTACTTCACTCATTTTACCCATGTGGGGAATCAAACCTGGGTCTTCAGCGTGGTGAGCTTTACAACTGGGCTTCCAAACTCTCCTTGCTCACGTGAAAAGCCTCAAAATAATTTTGGTACTGCAGAAGGACATTGAAACACCACGACTAAACAATTACACCGAACAAATTTCAGGGTGAATATATTTTTAAGATCATTTCGGTATTGAATATTCTCAGAAAGTGCAAGCTGTCATGCATTAATTCTAGTTGGGGTTAGTTTAAGTTAGTTGGTGTTTGTAACTGCAAGTGTGGGTGCTCCTATTCACTACCGAAATGTATCTTGTATATTCACCCTTACGTGATTCAAGTTTCATTGATTTGATTTGATAAAGAAAAAACTACATGGTGTTTCGAATATCAAGGGCAGAGTCTGGAAGCCTTATGTAGGCACTTTAATACAGTAGGAAAATACTTACTTTATATTACAGGCATTCTGGGTACATATTTGCAAACTATTACACCATCGAAGGACTGACTGACTGACTGAGTTTTGGTTTTACGCCGCTTTTAGCAATATTCCAGCAACATCACGGCTGGGGACACCAGAAATGGGCTTCACACATTGTACCCATGTGGGGATTCGAACCACTAGGCTACCCCACCGCCCCCCACCATCGAAGGAGAAAATGGAAATTCAATATAAAGATTAAATACCAAGTTTTGATTTCTTTACCAAAAGAGTACAGACAATACAGTGATTGACATCATCAGCTGCAGTCAGGCGAGGCACATGCATCAACCAACACAAGTCAGACCACTCAGTCCCGCCAGTTGCCTCTTACAACAAGCATGGGTTGATGATCAATTCTAACTTGCATCTTCACGGGTCAGTTGCACATGAAACGGAAACTCATGGAAACATACTGATGTTGGAAAAAGTAAGTTGCACCATAACATTTCTGAACAATCAATAATTTACAACATGAAAAAACAGTATACATACTATAAGTTGACTTGTGCTGTATATACAATGTCTATGCAGATGAAGTTTCATTCCACATTGCTCCAATTTTAACAGCCTTAATGTGGAATATCACAATTCATGATGACATTGTTCTTTGTATACAACATTTGGTACATCCTGTCCAAGTCAAAAGCAACACAGTCAGACTTTGACCTGTAAACATCCAGCAAATCATCAGCGAGCATCATCAGCAGGCCTCATCAAGACTTAGATAGCCAAGTCTATCTTCTCCGGTGCAAGAAATCTTCAGAGACAAGTTTCAAAACAAAACAATGACTGAGATATGCCACAGTCCTCAATATTTCAGCAACCACTTGACATGAATATGATCTAAGATGACACAATCACACAAATATGTACCACCTAAGCCTGATTAAAGTGGATGTGTGGTAAATTGATATTTTGACTTGCATCCGCAATATTTCAGTCACCAGGCAAAGAGAACACATCATACATTTTACAATTTAAGGAGGAAAATGTACATGAACAATGAAGGACCAAGGATTATACTGGGAACAATTCCAGTATTGCCAGCAACAGGCCCTGAATACAAACATATGTATTACAGATATAATGTTAACAGATTGAACTGAGTGTTGATGGACTCGCATAGCAAAAACGAAATTGCATACAGAAATTGTTCTGGGTTTGTTATGACTGATATTAACCTGTTCCACCAGCATTTCTCAATTTAGAGCAAAGAATTGTCTTAAAGGGAAAATAGTAATTTGTAGTAAACCCAAAAAAATAGCAAAAGAAAATATCTGAACAAGGACATTTATGTGAAGAGCATTTGGCAACAATTGACAAAATAAGATAAGTAAAATAATGCCAGTGTAAAAATACTCAACAAAAAATGTTAAGGACCACCCAAATTTTAAACATGAAAGTATTTTATGTGATCATAATTTGAACTACTGAATACTTTACTACTGAAGATTGGGGTGGTCCTTCACTTTTTTTTTTTGCTGAGTATATTTTTGTAAATGTAAGGGTAGATTGTTGCCGATTAAATGTGGAAAAACCTTTTTGTCCTGTTGAATATGCTTCAGTCAGTATGATCTACTATCACATAATGTGCATAATACAGTGAAATCACTGTTGCATTAAGATTGCCAAAATGTACTGAAAAAGGTGTATTTAGCAATTTTAGTTTCACTTTTAACAAGTTGGATGATAAAATTGCGTAACATTGCATAATATTTATGCCAAGAGATAGTCCAAAACCTGAACACTGAAACATCTTACATTACACATTCATCCTCAGAAACAGTGAAATGAATACAAACCACATAACATTTAATTCGACCCTATGAAATAAACAAAAGGTTGTTATACAAGGAGTCGTATTATTATTAGATTTAACATTTGTACCTTCGGGAGCAGTGTAACTAATCTACTTACAAGAAACAAGGTTTGGTTGTTGAACGCCATACTCGGCATTATTCCAGCTAAACTAGTGTCCAAAAGAAACGATACCACGCGTTTCAAAGATCACTAAATTAAAACAAAACAGACATTTCAAATTGATATCTTTCATTAGATAAATGATTTTACGGCATGTGTACAAAAAGTCATGGCAATCAAAGATTTACAATCATTAACACAGGGCTTTAAACGAAGTGTGGAGCCCAAAATTGAAATTTCATTTTAGCACAGTGGAGGAGGCTAGTGAGGGTAGTCTCTGAAAACAGTCTTAACGCCACTTTAATACCGGGTATGTCCACCACCAGCTGCGATACATGCCATGACACGCCTCCGAGCTGATGACATCAAACGTCGGATGACGTTAGGGGTGATTCGCTGCCACAATGTTCCAATTGTTGGAGGTTGGCTGGGGGCGCATGGCGTTTTCTGATTTTCCGATTGAGGTGATCACATTATGTGCTCAATGGGATTCAAATCTGGTGAACATGCTGGCCATGGCAAAACCTGTATGTTTGCAAGGAAGTTCTGGGTCAATCTTGCCGTATGAGGCCTAGCGTTATCCTGCTGGAACACGATTCCTCCTGGATGCTGTTGGGCGAATGGCTGCACGACTAGTTGTAAAACCTCATCCTGGTAACTCTTCGGTATACTCGCTGCCGACCATCGTTCTTGTAAAGGCAAAACCGGCTTTCGTCCAAAAACAAGACTTGTCCAGTTCCGACGTTGCTACCGCCGAACACGCCTGGCCCATATCAATCGGTTGACTCTGTTTTGACTCTGCGGTAGGGGCGACGTGCACGGATACCATGTGCCTGCAGTCTCCTGTAGACGGTTTGTCGACTGATCCGTTAACGTCGCAGGAACGAAGCGGTTACGTAGGTGAAGTAACCGGATGTGGTTGTCTTGAATAGGCGTGGTCACCCGGGGTCTCCCGCTTCTCGACCTGTCTGTTGTTCGGCCTGTTTGATGCAACCGTCGCATTAACCTGGTAACGGTTATGCGCGCGCATCCAAACGTTCTTGCTACAGCGGCGTATGATGCTCCCTGTCGGACCATTCCAACGACTCTTTCTCTCTCGATCGCTGTCAAACGTGCCATTTCTTTTGTGTGCTTTTTACTGCTGTGGGCACAACGTGCCGAACCAGCGGTTTTATACAGTTCATCTGCACGTGCTTTTCGTGCTACACGACTTAACGTCATTTTGAGTGTTCGTGCGATTGCTTCTTAAGTGATTAAATGTAACCGTTTTTTTCGATCGAATTCGTTTGGTTAGGAACATGGGATACACAGAAATATGTTTTTTCTCCAAAAAGCATAATTAATTTAAAAATATTGAAACAAATATTTGGTATCGTTTCTTTTGGACATGAGTTTATATGGAAGCGGTTTGTAAATAACCAAAAATACAGTGATCAACAGCATGAGCATCGAACCATGCAAGTGTCAACCAAGTCAGCGAGGTTGACCTCTCGATCCCGTTAGTCACCTCTTATGACAAGCATGTGTTATTGGAGACCAATTCTAACCCGGATCTTCACGGGCCACAAGTGAAAACATTTGCAACATGATACTATACATGGTACACTCTTGAATCAAATGTAATGCATAACATGTATGGTTACATTGAACACACATTGCTTTTAGAAAGTGGTCAAATGTAACATGTATTTGGGGTTAAGCTTTCTCAGTAAACGTTACCTTTGATCACTTTCTCAAAGGCAGTGTGTAATTAGTGTTGGCAATAGAAAAGCCATGGCAATTAGCCTTGTCAGAGGGTATACGCAACATGTAATCTATACTACCGATTGGCAGAGAAGGCGAGGGTAGGCCAGAAACTAAAAACCCCAGTCAAAGATTCTGTACTCTATCGCATTATGGTTACATTTAGAAATGCTGTGTACAGATTGATGCCAGTCATTTTCAAAGCAAATTTAATTCTAATCAAAACAAGGCTATGTGTATTTTTATAACCTTATTGTATCCATAAATAACTATAATTCTGAAATAATATACCCATTACAAATTCCATTATTCATTGTCAAGAATAAAAACACAAATTATTAATAATAGTTTGTAGGTTTAATATGTATATATAGGGGACATTGATGAAATTTACTGTTTTCACCATAGCCAAAATGATGCCGTGACAGGTTTGCAGGTAACGATAGCTACTTTTTTTTAGAAGTGTCCAAGTGTCCATAACAAAAGGTTTATTCGAAGTAAAGCAAAATTTAATTACAATCATGGTTCACCAGCAGTTGACAAAATATGCATGTTTTATTCACGCAAGCAAAGTGGTCGTGAATAAATATGATTACAGTAACATACTACTTAGAATCCTAATATATTGTATATATTATTTTGCTGTAACATTCAAGATCAATACACACATCATTGGATTGAATCTCAAACATCAGTTTACCAAAATGATGATACACATTACACTGTTCTCAGTAAAGATGCTAATACCTTTGTGTCAGTCCCATTTGAATTCTAACCCACTCGAAGTCTGACAATTGATAGTCTTGAACATTGAGTGAGTTTAGTTTTATGTCTCAGTAGTATTCCAGCTATATGGCGGCGGTCTGTAAATAATCGAGTCTGGACCACACAATCCAGTGATCAACAGCATGAACATCGATCTACGCAATTGGGACACGATGACATGTGTTCAAATATGGTGATAGTCAGCAAATGGTACCATAACATTCTTTGTATTGAATTTTAACTTAGTCCGCAGATAGTGAATATAGTTTTACACCATTTTTAGCAATATTCCAGTAATTTTAAATCGGGGCACACCAGGAATGTACTTCACTCATTTTACCCATGTGGGGAATCAAACCTGGGTCTTCAGCGTGATGAGATAACGGCTTAACAACTGGGCTTCCAAACTCTCCTTGCTCACTTGAAAAGCCTCAAAATAATTTTGGTAATGCAGAAGGACATTGAAACACCACGGCTAAGCAATTACACCGAACAAATTTCAGGGTGAATATATTTTTAAGATCATTTCGGTATTTAATATTTTCAGAAAGTGCAAGCTGTCATGCATTCATGCTAGTTGGGGTTAGTTGAAGGGGTTAGTTGGTGTTTGTAACTGCAAGTGTGGGTGCTCCTATTCACTACCGAAATGTATCCTGTATATTCAGCCTTGTTTCATTGATTTGATAACAAAACCTACATAGTGTTTCGAATATCAAGGGCAGAGTCTGGAAGCCTTATGTAGGCACTTTAATACAGTAGGAAAAATACTTACTTTATATTACAGGCATTCTGGGTACACATTTGCAAACTATTACACCATCGCAGGAGAAAATGAAAATTCAATATAAAGGTTAAATACCAACAGTTTTCATTTCATTACCAAAAGAGTACATTAAATTCATCTGATCCATGCCAAAGATTGAAAGCTGTTGATGTCATCAGTTACAAGGTCAGTAATTTTTCAGCTACATGACAGCTGTCTGCAAGCCACATGCATCAACCAAGACAAGTCAGACCACTCAGTCCCGCCAGTTGCCTCTTACAACAAGCATGGGTTGCTGATCAATTCTAACTTGCATCTTCACGGGTCAGTTGCACATGAAACGGAAACTCTTGGAAACATACTGATGTTGGAAAAAGCAAGTTGCACCATAACATTTCTGAACAATCAACATTTACAACATGAAAAATCAGTATCCATACTATACTAGCCACATAAAGAAACTGTGCACACAGAAAATTCCTTCAGAATTGGAATAGAACACAGAAAAGACGAAATGATGTAGACACTTTATAAGCTGAAGTATCGGACCACAAGAAAATGTGGAAAGAGCAAGAAAAATATCCGTAACAATGACATCAGAAGTTCAAAATCGAGTACGGCATCACACAACGAAGTCACAAAGTCAATAACGGGTATGACCACCATGTGTGTGAAGCACAGCAGTGCATCGACGACGCATAGAGGCTACTAAATGAGCATTGAAGGCCTGGGGGAATAGTCTTGGACGCGGTCACTGCCGTCTTGAACCTGTGTCCATCTGTCCTGTCTTGGCGTCGTTACGTCGGGGACGCCCATACCATGGGTGGTCGTTGACGTCATTAGTGTTTCCCTAAATCCTGACCAATGCAGATATCGTGTTACGATGGCATTGGAAATGTGCTCCCACCTGTTGTTCGCTCATTCCTGCTCGAACCATTCCATTGGCTTCATGACGTTACGCATTATGTTAATCTTGGCATGATGTGCATGTGACTTCTCATGTGAATTTGTGAACGTTTGAATGAAGATCAAGCTTTCGACAGTGACAGCAATTTCTGAGTTGCAAATGTTGTCCATAGGCCACTATCAATGACGTCACATCGCCTGACACGTGCATGTGCGTTTGACTGTCTGCAATACTTGCTATGTTCACACCTGTATTTATGTATAAAGACGCTGTGTGCCTATATCTACATTTTCTGTGTGCACAGTTTCTTTATGTGGCCAGTATATAAGTATCATTCCACATTGCTCCAATTTTAACAGCCTTAATGTGGAATATCACAATTCATGATGACATCATTGTTCTTGGTATGCAACATTTGGTACATTATGTACAGTTCTCCAAGTCAAAAACAACACAGACTTTTGACCTGTGGCTTTCTGCAAACATCTATCTATCTTCTCCGGTGCAAGAAATCTTCAGAGACATGTTTCAAAAGAAAACAATCACTAAAATATGCCACAGTCCACAATATTTCAGCAACCACTGGACAGGAAAATGATCTAAGATCACACAATCACACAAATATGTGTTAAAGTGGATGTGTGGTAAATTAATATTTTGACTTGCATTGCACATGAAACAACATTTCTGAGTGAGTGAGTGTTTAGCTTTACGCCGCACTCAGCAATATTCCAGCTATATGGCGGCGGTCTGTATACCATTTCTGAACAATCAACAACAGTAAAAACAATATCCATGCTATAAGTTGTGCTGTATATACATTGTCTATGCAGATGATGTTTCATTCCCAGTGCTCCATAACAGCCTTAATGCGGAATATCACAATTCATGATGAGATTGTTCTTGGTATGCAACATTTGGTACATTCTGTACAGTTCTCCAAGTCAAAAAACAACACAGACTTTTGACCTGTGGATTTCTGTAAACATCCAGCGAATCATCAGTGGGCCTCATCAAGACTTAGATAGCCAAGTCTATCTTCTCCAATGCAAGAAATCTTCAGAGACAAGTTTGAAAACAAAACAATGACTGAAATATGCCACAGTCCACAATATTTCAGCGACCACTGGACAGGAATATGATCTAAGATCACACAATCACACAAATATGTACCACCCAATCCTGATTAAAGTGGATGTGTGGTAAATTAATATTTTGACTTGCATCGGCACAATTTAATCACCAGGCAAAGAACACATCCTACATTATACAATTTAAGGAGGAAAATGTACATGAACAATAAAGGACCAAGGATTATACTGGGAACAATTCCAGTATTGCCAGCAACAGGCCCCTAATACAAACATATGTATTAGATATAATGTTAACAGATTGAACTGAGTCATGATGGACTCGAATAGCAAAAAAGAAATTGCATACAGAAATTGTTCTGGGTTTGTTACGACTGATATTAACCTGTTCCAACAGCATTTCTCAATTTAGAGCAAAGAATTGTTGTAAGAGAAAAATAGTAACTTTTATTAAAAAAAACAGCCCAAGAAAATATCTAAACAAGGACATTTATGTGAAGAGTATTTGGCAACAATTGACAAAATAAGTTTAAGTACATGGGCTGAAAATAATGCCTGTGTAAAAAATATACTCAAATGTTCAGGACCACCCAAATTTTCAACATTAAAGTATTATATGGATAATAATTTGAACTATTGAATACTTTACTACTGAAGATTGGGGTGGTCCTTAACTTTTTTTGCTGAGTATATTTTTGTGAATGTAAGGGTAGATTATGTTGTCTATTAAATGTGGAAAAACCATTTTATGTCCTGTTGAATATGCTTGTCAGTATGATCTACTATCACATAATGTGCATAATATACAGTGAAATCACTGTTGCATTAAGATTGCCAAACTGTACTGAAAAAGGTGTATTTTTAGTTTCACTTTTTACACAGGGCTGGATTTAAGAGATGTTAACCTACTTGCACCAGGTGCAACCTAAGATAAAAACCTAGTCTCACCAGCCATATTCGAGTTGCACTAATTTTATTGAGAAATGAAAGAAATGTAATGAAAGAAATATGCTATTGAGTTATTTAGATGTTTTATTCAGAAGTTTACCCACTCAAAAATTGACCTGCACCTGGTGCAAGTTAGAATAATAACTACGTTGCACTTTGTAATATTGGCTAGTATCAGTGCAAGTAACAAAGCACTAAATCGAGCCCTGTTACAAGATGACTGATAAAATTGTGTAGCAGTGCGTAATATTTATACCAAGACATTACAATCACATTCATCCTCAGAAAATAGTGAAATGAATACAAACCACATAACATTTAATTCAACCCTATATACAATTGTTTGATCAGCATTATGGAAATTGAGTGAATAAAAGCATACAACTGTTTTTTTTTGCACAGAACAATGTTTCAGTGTAGATTCTTTTGAAACACTATGAAATAAACAAAAGGTTGTTATACAAGAAGTCGTATTATTATTACGATTTAACATTTGTACCTTCGGGAGCAGTGTAACTAATCTACTTACAAGAAACAAGGTTTGGTTTGGTTGTTGAACGCCACACTCGTTATTCCAGCTATATGGCAGCGGTTTGTAAATAACCAACAATACAGTGATCAACAGCATGAGCATTGAACCATGCAAGTGTCAACCAAGTCAGCGAGGTTGACCTCTCGATCCCGTTAGTCACCTCTTTCGACAAGCATGTGTTATTGGAGACCAATTCTAACCCGGATCTTTACAGGCCACAAGTGAATACATTTGCAACATGATACTATACATGGTACACTCTTGAATCAAATGTAATGCATAACATGTATGGTTACATTGAACACGCATTGCTTTTAGAAAGTTGTCAAACGTAACATGTATTTGGGGTTAAGCTTTCTCAGTAAACGTTACCTTTGACCACTTTCTCAAAGGCAGTGTGTAATTAGTTTTGGCAACAAAAGCCATGGCAATTAGCCTTGTCAGAGGGTATACAGAACACGTAATCTATACTACCGATTGGCAGAGAAGGTGAGGGGTAAGTCTTAAACAGATATTTTGAATACCCCTCCGATAACTACTGCAATCTGTACTTTACTCAGAAAGTATAATACTATATACAACATGTTCAAATATGGTGATAGTCAGCAAATGGTACCATAACATTCTTTGTATTGAATTTTAACTTAGTGAATATAATTTTACACCACTTTTAGCAATATTCCAGTAATATTAAATCGGGGAACACCAGGAATGCACTTCACTCATTTCACCCATGTGGGGAATCAAACCTGGGTCTTCAGCGAGATGAGATAACGGCTTAACAACTGGGCTTCCAAACTCTCCTTGCTCACGTGAAAAGCCTCAAAATAATTTAGGTAATGCAGAAGGACATTGAAACACCACGGCTAAGCAATTACACCGAACAAATTTCAGGGTGAATATATTTTTAAGATCATTTCGGTATTGAATATTCTCAGAAAGTGCAAGCTGTCATGCATTAATTCTAGTTGGGGTTAGTTTAAGTTAGTTGGTGTTTGTAACTGCAAGTGTGGGCAGCTCCTGTTCACTACCGAAACGTATCCTGTATATTCACCCTCATGTGATTCGACTGACTGACTGAGTTTGGTTTTACGCCGCTTTTAGCAATATTCCAGCAACATCAAGGCAGGGGACACCAGAAATGGGCTTCACACATTGTCATGTGATTCGAGTTTCATTGATGTGATAAAAAAACAAAACTACATGGTGTTTCGAATATCAAGGGCAGAGTCTGGAAGCCTTATGTAGGCACTTTAATACAGTAGGAAAAAATACTTAATTTATATTACAGGCATTCTGGGTACACATTTGCAAACTATTACACCATCAAAGGAGAAAGATTAAATACCAACAGTTTTCTGTCAGTGATCGGGACCAGACAATACAGTGATCTTCAGGGACAAGTTTCAAAACAAAACAATCACTAAAATATGACACTGTCCACAATATATCAGCGACCACTGGACACAAAAATGATCTAAGATGACACAATCACACAAAATATGTACCACCGAATCCTGATTCAAGTGGATGTGTGGTAAATTAATATTTTTACTTGCATCGGCAATATTTCAGTCACCAGGCAAAGACAACACATCCTACATTTTACAATTTAAGGAGGAAAATGAACATGAACAATGAAGGACCAAGGATTATACTGCGAACAATTCCAGTATTGCCAGCAACAGGCCCTTAATACAAACAGATATGTATTCCACAGATAATGTTAAGGGATGGAATTGCATTGATGGATTCGCATAGCAAAAAAGAAATTGCATACAGAAATTCTTCTGGGTTTGTTATGACTGATATTAACCTGTTCCACCAGCATTTCTCAATTTAGAGCAAAGAATTGTCTTAAAGGGAAAATAGTAATTTGTAGTAAACCCAAAAAAATAGCAAAAGAAAATATCTGAACAAGGACATTTATCTGAAGAGTGTATTTGGTAACAATTGACAAAATAAGATTAAATAAATGGGCTGAAAATTTGTAAACAAGAAGTTTTAGGCCCAGATATGCAAAAACTTTTTCAATGCTTGTGTACAAAATATACTCAACAAATAAAGTTAAGGACCACCCCAGTATTTAAGTATTATATGGGTCATAATTTGAACTACTAGTATTAAATACTTTAATATTGAAATTGGGTTGGTCCTTAACTTTTTTGTTGAGTAAATCTATGTAAATGTAAGGGTAGATATTGTCAAAATGTGTAAAAACCTTTTTATCTCGTGTTGAAAATGCTTCAATAAGATCAATCACATAATGTGCATAATATACAGTGAAATCACCCTTACAATAAGATTGCCATAATGGTGTATTTAGCAATTTTAGTTTCACATTTTACAAATTGGCTGATAAAATAAATAACAGGACTTTCACTATTGCTTTTGAATGGACACTGTCATATTTATACCAAGAGATGGTCCAAATTTCATCCTCAGAAAACAGTGAAATGAATACATGCAACATTTAATTTGATCCTATATACAATTGTTTGATCAGCATTCTGGAAATTGAGTCAAAAATGTAGCATACAAATTTGTTTTTTGCACAGAACAATGTTTCAGTGTAGATTCTTTTGAAATTTCTAGTAGTGAGTGAGTTGGGTTTTACGCAGCACTCACTCGGCAATATTCTAGCTATATGATGGCGGTCTGTAAATAATCGAGTCTGGACCACACAATTCAGTGATCCAACAGCATGAGCATCGATATGCGCAGTTGGGAACTGATGACATGTGTCAAGC